CGTTTTATTCTAAAAAGATATCCCAAATAGCACAAGGACGTCCAGGACGGACTTGTGCTATTTGGGTAATAGCGAGGTAGTAAAACATTAGCAGGTTATGTATTAAAAAATCTTAGAGACAACCTGCTGTCGAGTCATATCGGCTCGCATTTTATACTAATACGGGATGATTGTTCCTTACGAGAAAGGCTAACGCGCTGTCGCCACGTCGCGGCAGTGAGTGGTACTAGTACTGTACTATACTATTCTGAAAATACATGTTCAGGATAAATGTCCGAGAGACATCTATATATGATATTACATATAGATGTCTCTCAGATATCTTTGAGAGATCTGTGTATGATATTACATAAAAATGTCTCTCAAATATCTTTGAGATATTTGCTACGATATCTCTGAGACATTTGTATAAAGATATCTCTCAGATATCTCTGAGATATCTGTAACTTCATAAGGATATCCTTGTTACGTCAGTGCTATGTGGGACTTGACAATCGTATCTGCAAAATACAGGTTGTGCGTATTCGAAGAACTTACCCACAAAATATTTTGATATACAGTGTATATACAACGTATATACATCTATATATCATGTATATGCAGTGTATATGAATTTTTAATACATACATTGGATATCAAATGTTTATGCAAATGTTACCAGAATAATGTACAGAGGAAGTCCTAGGTATACATAGGAAGTTACATAGGTACATAATTTACACATTTTATGTATACAGGGTGGTCCTGAAATAGTTGGTCAAACTCAGATTGGATTTGGCTCGTCATAAGGATGAAAAAAAGTTCCCATAAACGTTAGTCCAAAATCCTGCATCCCGCAGGTGTTACGACTCATTTAATTATTAATATCTGATTTAAAAAATGGAAGGCTATGAAAGGAAAAACTTTATTTTTATTTACAGTAGTTGTTAAAAATGTCCACCGTTAGCGAAAACACGTGCTTTCATCTAACCATTGACTGTCTAACACGCTCAAAGATTCCTAGCGTATTTCGAGATTGCTGTGTTTCGAATTTTAAAGTGCTCGAACAATAATAGTGGATTTTAATTGCGACAACAGATCACTCGATTAAACTACTTATTGAACACAGTAATTAAAAAAACACAAATCGAAGTACGATTAAAACTTTAAATGTATTTATTCTTCGAGGTTGATAATTAAATGAGTCGTAACTTCTGAAGAATACGTTGTCGAACTAACGTTTATGGAAACTTTTTTCATCCTTTTGACGAACCCAATCCAATCCCTGATTTTGACCAACTATTTCAGGACCACCCTGTATACATGACGTACAATATATTGATTTGTTGTCTATTACAGGTACATGTACCCAGATAACTAAGCGTGGTAAAATCATGTTTTCCCATAGCTTTACGGCAAGCTTTGCTTCAATTTTTACAACAATTATCTGAAAGCATTTGTTTTTTTTGCCTTGTCAAAAAGTTTCAAACAAAATATGACGTAAATTTGGTCAATATGACATCAAATTGACATCATCTTGACTTTTTATTTTTCTTGGGTAAGTATAATAATAAAACCATTTAAATCTTCCGTTTCTCGTAAACATTTCTACCGGTTGTCTGCGAGACAACGAAAGCGAATTTTTCTTATGCGTGAAAATCATGTAAGTGGAGTCTGTCAGTATAAGAAAGTAATACGTGAGAGAAAAGTATATGTTGTAAAAATATTCATTTTACATATTTGCACGACAACAATAATAACGAAAACTAGAAAATAAAGAAGTGTACAACTTTTAGTGGGTTTTGTTACCGCTTGAAGATCGTTTTATTTCTATGTTTTGTTTTGTATTTTTACGTTGATTACATGATTTCCGTTTTACGCTCATTATAATATAATATTTTATCAGGTATTCTAATTTTCTTTTTAGTTTGACCAATTCGTATTCTACTGCATTTAATGTTTTATAAAATAATTTCTTAATAAATTTATTGTAATTTTTTTAAATTTCAGTTGTATTAGATTACTGAAGAAGACCTGACGATATGTCGAAACGTTTAAAGAAAAGAATATATCTTTCACGTTTTAAATTACGCACTGTGTTCCGCGTTCATTGGCTCACATTGACCTTTCCTCATCGAGTGTTTGTGCATATTCCTTCGTAGAAACTGAAGGAAAAATAATGTTATAAGAACCATGAAAACGTGAAGTTACGATGATACATCACAATTATTACTTTCCAATTAATTCTCTTTACTGATTATTTTGTACTTCTAGATTCGACTTATATCGAATATAATATATTAATAATATATTAATAATTGAATGTAAAAAAATTGTCTCATTTGAAAAATGATAATTATATCACGAGATGCTCTCCTTGTTTTCATTCGGACTTGGAACCGATAATGTTGAAGTTACGGCTCCTATTTATATATTTACATTTATTATTATACAAATTTACAGGGTTGGAAGAAACTCGTTACTTGTAACAAAGTTACATTAATAGTTACTTTATACATATATGTATATATTTTTTTTAAACCTCCATATTGCCTCAGGCCTTGAATTAGCACACAACCGCCTTAATCGACGCTTTACAATTCAAATGAGGATTTAATATTTTTATTATAACGAATCGTTACTTTGCAGTTACTTTTTGAGTAACTGTAACTGTAACGCGTTACTTTTCAGAATTGATAACTTGTAACTGTAACTGGATACTTTTATAAAATAACTTTCTCAATCCTGCAAATTTACATATATGTATACACATTTACATATATCAATATTTACACTTGCGCACGCACACTTACCTTCCTCCGTCCTCGTTGTCATTTATAAATTTGTATATATGTAAATACATATATTAATAGGAGAGGTAACTTTACAATTATCAGTCCCAAGTCCGAATGCTAACAAGGAGGGTATCTCGTTATATAATTATAATTTTTCAAGTAAGACAATTTTGTTAGTTCTAATTATTCTTATATTATATTTGATACAAATCGAATCTATAATAGAAGTACGAAATGATTCATAAAGAAAATTAATTGGAAAGTAATAATTGATGTATTATTACTTTAAGTTAATTTTCATGTCTGGAAGAAACTTTTGAGCATTTCTGTCGCGAAACAACTACCTTAATATGCTTTCCACAAGTTAAAAATGTTAAAAGATGTAATAAGTATAATGTAATAAGTATAATCAAGTAAAGAATTTTTGGTTCATTGATATATAATAATTTCATTAAATATTATAAAAAGAGATTAAAAACTATTTTGTGACCGTAAAATGAGATTGCGTAAAATTGAGACCGCAGTCCCGCGTAAATCAAAAGATGAGTTCAATTACATAAATTATCATATATGTATACACATTGTAAACGATTTAAATTTAAATTATAAACAAAATTTTTGTCCTGTTAATCGTACGTGAAAATATAGGAAACTGTGCAATTGAAAAATGTATTAAGGCACTTAAACTTGCAAATATAATAGACTTAATTAACTTATTTTATTCTTATTGTCACCAGTGATAAACTCTAACGAAAATGAAAAACTTAATATAATCTTATAGTCGACCAAACTAGTAAAAATTAAACATAATTATATCTTACATTTGTTCGATGAATTGGATGCGTTGATTAAAACAAACTTTAATAATTAATACTTTAATAATTAAATGTGCCGAAATTTAAATTTAGCTACTGGTCGCAATAACACACAAATAATTATTGTACATATATATATGTATATATATATTTATGGACAATTATACTTACATACGTATTTAACAAAACGTTTATAACTTTATTATTATCCCATAATTATTTAGTTAATATTTCAATATACAGTATTAAATATAAAACATATTTAACACATTAAGGATACATGTATAACAATAGGATTCGCCTGTGAACAATATAGGAACTGTGTTGAAAAGAATATCTTATAAAAGGCACCATAAATATTACTATATGATCTGTTTAAGCTAATTGGTCGATGTGATATTTCCAGATACTAAAGTATAAAGTGTGAAATTAAGCATAACTATAAGAATACAAAAATACACATTATTAAAACGTAAAATAATTTAATCTTAAAAACAAGTTATATTAAAAACAAATTGACACAGGATTAATTGTTTCAAATTTTAATGGAATATTAATGGAGATTTTATTAATGTACAAAACAAACGATATATATAGAAGATTGATCGAAAAAAAATGACAATTAGTAACATGCTGATTTTATTTTCATCCTCGATTTTTCCAATTGTGAAAACAACAAATTTCCAATCTTACCTCCTAGCCAAATGTTTAAAGGATTTCAAGAATGTACACAATCTCATCACAATCTATAGAACATATTAATATACAACGATCTTTCTTATTTAGATTATTGTACTTTGCGTCATTAACATTCAATAAAATAGAAATTTTCATAATGCAGTTATATAACTAACAAATAACGATTATATACGTATTATATAAGGTATCATAATACGTATTTTGTTAAAAAACAGTAGCTTCCTTTGTACCAAACAATGGACCCTCGATTACGCAAGGTTGTATTGTAATTTATCGATATCATATATTTGCCACTGTATGTACTTTACCATGATGAAACTTATTGTTATCATCATTATAACAAACAATTCCCACATACAAATGTTTTAACAAATCTGACAAATCTTGTATCTCAAATGTACAATAAATAAAAAACCAATATGTATACATCTTAATCTTTCTCTAATAAATTTTATGGTTCAAGGTGTCGTAATTAAAAGAATTGATTTATTAATCGTTGATTATAATCAGGAGCCACTTGTACTTTACAGTTTACTCAATTATTTTGCGATTCACATACCTTTTTAATTCTAACCATTATAAACATTTCCCAATGTTATACAACAATTTATGTAAAGCTTAAAGTTACACGAGGTTCAAAGTTACAAGAGATTGAAATTCTTCGTATTATTTTAACTGGAATCTTTACAAAAGTTTCCACAAATGGTCCGCGTGTGACGTATTAGGAAATGCCTCTACGTATTTATCTGATCTATCCTAGAGAATACGGGGTAAGACTCGAGTTTTCAGTCTCACAACTCGTGATTATCCATCACATCCAACTCTGATAGATCTTCTTTCAAGATGTCGACATCACCGTAGCCCCAGACGTGACTTCCGTCGCCACATCGATGCGCCCTGCGACGAATCATACTTGACGTTACATACTTTCGATCGTACGCCCAACCGATTCGTGCAAATACGTCGATGAAGGCGGTGGTAATATTGAACGGGTAATCACCGAGTTCACCCGTCTTGTAATCCCACGGAAACACGTGATGGTAATTGTGATATCCCTCGCCAAGCGACGCGATCGACACCGCGATGTTCTCCACTGGCGAGATGCTCCTACGAGTAAATCATCGAGTTGTGTTTTAAAGGGCACAAATGTTTAAATAAATTCTCCATATTATATGAAAAATTCATCAAATTAAATAGTTGCCTTTTTTTAACAATCCTGTCATAGATAATTTTCGATAGATTCGTAATTTAATACGTACTTATCGTAGGGTCTCTGTCCCCACAAGTGTGCCACGCTATTAACGCAGAAGGCTATGTTCAAATTTATGCAGAAGCGAAGATTGAAGTTTACCCAGAACGAGATCCACAGCGACTCTGACCAGAAGTAGTAAGGAATCGCCACCGGTAATGCGATGGTCAGGAGAGCAAATAGAGGTACGTACCACCTACAGATAGATCGATATAAAATTAATAATATAATTATATTATAAAGAAATCACATGCACATCTTCTGAATGGTATAAACATAACCGATAAAAAGATGTCTTTGATATATTTTATTTTTCCTTGTTTCTTCTTTTTTGCCAGGTTGAGAGAAAGTAAATGAAGTGAATGAATGAGTACCGTAAAGCCCCCTTGCCTTTTTTGCCACATAACTATGGGATCCGCTTCTAGATCGCTCACATCGACCGCCTTACGTTTAGCGTCAACGTCAGGATGAGGTGTCGTAAAGAGCCACCCTACGTGAGCGAAAAAGAAACCTCTTCTTACGTCATGGGGATCGGCATCGGTTTCGCTGTACTTATGATGTACCCTGTGGTCCAACGCCCACGTGTATACATCTCTCTGCACAAGAAGAATATTGTTAAGGTAGTTATTTCGTAAAATCATTTATGTGTTATAAATAATCTTTGATACAAATATATTGTATGTGTGACAGCGATAATAATTGAATAGTAATAGAGAACTTATTGATATATAAGAGTTTACATACTTGTCCTGTTATCGTGAAGAGGAAGACTAGAAGTAAACGCAGAGGCCATTTCGCTTTGTATGCCTTGTGTGACCATAATCTATGAACACCAGCCGTAATGCCAAAACCAGATGTATAAATCGTCACAAACACTGCAATCATAAAAGATACAGGCATTGAAATATTCTAAGAAACACACATTCGGATAGTTAAAATAAAGCTGCTACATTGAAATATCTAATTCAATCTTTAATTATTTGCTGAATTGCGATATCATTTATTAGTCTTAACAAAAAGTTTATCTAAGTCTATTTTATATTTAAAAATCCTTACATACCATCTTTTTGTACTTTTATTGGTTTCTTACAAAGATAGATAATTTTCAAGGTTCGTGAAATGAAAAAGTAAGTTATAAGTTGGGTAATAAATTTATAAATAAATTAACTAAATCTATATATAACATCTATTTCGTTTTTTATCATGTTCATTAGATTGTAACTTAAGGATTGAGGCATTATATATTCATCGTGTCGCGAAGCTATGTAACCACGAATGCAGAAATCCGAGATGCGGTATCATTATCGCGGTTTATGCTTCCGTTTTATGGGATTCAATACCCGTAGATTTGATGTAAGTGCCGGGTTTAAACGTCCATCGAACGCAAATACTTGCGTTCGCATAACCCGTCCCATTATCAAGCTTCATATAAGTACTTTCATAGCCATAGCCCCCGTACGTTTCTGCTACCCATTTTCCACGGCCAATACCGCGTGTGTGATTCCACCCGTGAAATATAGGTAAGTTGTACTCGGTAGTGTATGACGCAAATTTATTTCAAGCGTCTTGACACTCGCATATGCATGATGAAGCTTAACGCCGGCTTTTGTGCCTGTACTGGCAAACGATCTCAATTTATATTTATAACACGGTAAAATAAAAAAAATTTCAAATTTGTATTAAAAGTACAGAGAAACGGCATGAGAAATTTTCAGTACCGATGCTTGCATTGTTTATAAAATAAAAATAATTATTATGATTATTTTCTCTCTTAACTATCAAGATTTCAATCTCAAATGAGAAAAACTCAGATAAAAACAAGTTAGGACATTTATAAATTATCGCAGCGATATAATTTCGAATGGATTGCGTGCTCTCATCTATTCACATTGCACGCGTTGCAAAATATGTTGAAAGAAACAATAGATTCGCAGATAGAAGGTAAACCAATCCTCGGTATAGTATTCGGTCAAGTGTTACAGCGTCAGAATTACAGTGCTGATATTATTGTGATTATCTCAAATGACGCGAAATTACCGGCACGACCTACATTTTTACGCTATCGTAAATCAAAGTTTACTCCCAACATTCTCATATTTCAAGGATTATTTCACGGTAGCGAATAAAGCAATCTAACATTGATTCATGTGTTGCAATTAAATACTAGAGTTATTAAAATTAAATTTTGGAAATAACATTATGAGAAAGTTATTTTTAAAAGATCAATTACATTATATGTATAACAAAATATGGCATGCAATAAATAAGATAATATTAAGTATTATTTATTCTATATTGTACGAAACGATACTAGCTAACATGTAAATTTAAATGTTTCAATAAAATTACAAAACTAAGTCGTTGCTGTTCGTAGATTATAAAAGTTTATCTCCGTCTACCTGATAAGCAATACCGAGACTATATTTGGCATCCCAAAGCTCTCAAATGACTTGTTCAAATGCACATTGTACAATCTAAAGACCAACGAAGAGATATCTATTATATAATATCAAAGTTATGAAGCTGTACTGGAAAATATGTAAGGTGTATTCGCTTCGTCTTCAATATTCCTATTACAATGTTGAGGTCACGAAAATTGGTGCAATTGACAGTAAATCAAACGCATATATACACTTACCCCATAGCGATGTAAGTAATTTCGCTTGCGTGAAGACCAAATACAATCCGTAGAGACAACCACCGTGTATAAAGATTTGCGCGCCGAGGTCCAGCCACTTTATCCTCGGCACGTACTCGATCGCTGATTCATCGTTCTTCTGAGTCGTCGCTTCACCATTCTTCACTGTTTCACCGTTCGCCAATCGATCCTGCATTATGTCAGAATCCGTCTTTGTCTTGGGATACATTGTTAGTGGTATCCTTTCTTCGTTTGGCGACATTTGTATCAAAAACGTATTTTGTTTGAACTCCTTGTGATCGTCCAAAAACGCCTGCCGTACACCAACAATCACGTTGATCTTCCGGCAATGAATCGATTCAACGGTTGCTCCGCATTTCAAGTAGCTTTTACAAAATTGGTCAATACCCGTGTGCCAATCGCAATAATGCAAATTGTGCAAAGTCGACACGAGCCAACCTAGATGTTGCAAATCGAAATTTTAAGTCGATTCATAATGTAGGATGGTCCTTTTCAGAGATCTAAAATAAAAACAAATGCACAAATCAGCTAATATCTTTTTCTCAACAATATTCTGATGATATTAAAATAACTCTAAGCTTTTGCCAAAAGGTCAAATGAGAACAACTTGTTTACTTTTACACTTTAATGATTCCACGTTATTCAAGTATGAATATTCTGTGATAAAAGCAAGTAGAATGCATGTTCTAGGACATTATGTATTGATTGCTGATAACACCATTCGGTTCGCATTGCGATAAGATTATCCGTTTCCAGGTATTCTTTGAAACTTGTTATCTAAAGAAATCATTTATTTTTAGATCACTTGTCTTATCTTTCATCATATATTTATTTATTAATTTTTTGTATCGAGTATGGCATAGTTAATAGTTGGTCAGTTTTGTACGTTGTAGTGAAAATTGATCTTCGATAAACACCAATTTTCAGTTACAGATGTTGAAATTGAATTGTCTTAAATTTGACCATTCGATAAACATCAATTTTTAATTACAGATATTGAAACTGAATTATCTTAAATTTGCAGAACATCTGGTGTACTCCAGTGTTATTCCTGACGCGCTAATCAACTGGCACAAGTTCGGTAAATATAGCTTCAAAAGTATACGAATTTATGTGAATTATGGCAAGGCTACGTCTCGTTAACACGTTACGTATATCTCCGTTTGTAAATCAGCCTAGCACGACCACGGAAACATTTTCCACGCTGTCTTAACAACGATAGGCGCAAAATCTGCAAAAACATCCTCGACCTAATATGTGCGTTATAACATGTTATTTGCTTGCGAATAGTTTTACAATTAACATATTAATTGCATAAGTCACGTTATGTTAATCCACATATTCGAAAATAGATAAAAGATCAATATTTCTCGTAACATTTATCAATCAATCGAATATCAAAAACGTATATAAATAATACGAAAACGAGAAATGTACATGTAATTGTTTATTTAACAATAAACACATGTTGTGTCAGGGCAGTCATTCACCGTTTTAATATTTTAATAATAAAAATACACTTGAATGACAGCATTAGCAAAATAAAATTAATATTATTAGGACATAATTAATATTGTCCGGAGTATAATTGATTAGAAGCAATGTAAGAAACATGTATTTACTTTCCTCAAGAGAAAAAGATATTTTGTAATGCCAAGTGTTATTGCAAAACAAAATAACGACAACTAAAAACGTACAACTTCTGTTAATGCACTGAGATACCGACGAACGATTCTTGGTATGCTAATTTGCAAAAAATGATAACAGTGTAGTAAAACACTTACTGTTGTAATGTTTAAAACTCTCTAAACGTGTAAGCAGTGGTAATGCTTTAAACGCATACGAATGTAGTATGTTTTTAATAGTACTGTTTATAACCCATAGCTTGACTATAATATAATCAAGAAAATTTATTACTACATTATTAATTATGCATTAAATGCGCTACTCTTTCTTATATTATTATTTTAAAATAATTATAATTTACTATAATTATATCACAAAACAACAGTAATGTGTTGCAATCCTTAAAATTATATGTATCAAAAAAGAAATTGATACTTGATGATTTGTCAAAACTAACAAGAATATCAGCTTTCTCTAATATTAGCAAAATATACCAGAAACAAATAATACGTTTTCCGATTTTCGCTGTAATATCTTTCCTCTCTTTTGGATGGTCTCCAACTGATAGTGGAGAAAATTAATTAAAATTAAAACCCTCTTCAATCTCTCCTTAGATTATCCAGCGCTGATACAATATCTGTTGATAATTGGTTACTTTAAGCGTCAATGTCAGATTTCGAGGATAACAAGGGAATCGATGGATCGAGTGACAAACTTCAACTCGAAAACAATTTCCTACTAGTATTGAGTTTTAGAAGGACACACGCATCTGTCATACGTGATTGAACAAAATGTCGTATTTACAATCCGCTGTAGTCCTAAACAGATATTTTTATAATAAATAATAACAAATCAAAATAAGAATAGATGATTGCATACGAAAAATGAATTTATTATTCATCACACTAAATATTAATTGTCAGGACTAATTGTTTATCGAGTCTCCGTGCAGGCGCATGAATACACGGTATGCAGGCGTAAGGATACATGGCGTTTGCTGGCGTATAAATACGTGGAGAGAGAGAAGGTGTGTTTCGATTTTAGTGTTAATTAAGTTAGTTCGTTGCTCTCGGTCACGTACGTTCGTCAGTCACAGTCTCACTCAGGACGATTAATTACAAACACATTTTTCTTTTTTGCCTGTTGTGACTTTACAATAAAGCTGTGTTCTCTTTTCATTATGTGTGTCTTCGTTACACGCTAAAACCCCGATGTTAATGTTAATATATAAAAATTTTATCAAAGGTTATCTTATATAATGCTCATAATTTCCTTCTAATAATATTAAGGTAGCAATTCCCGCGCAATAGTCTTTGAAAACGCTAAACCATTTTTCAGCTGATATGTAAAGCCGATCTGAAACTGCCTGTACCTAGCAAACATTTAAAGCAGAAAGTGCCCTCGTTTTCGCACGTTTCCCGTCCTTTCTTTCAGCCCCTTTCTTCGCCGAAGTCGGTATTCGATCGATCAGTGCCCCCGACGACTGGAAAACACGATCATTGTATTTCGTAGCAGCGTGTCGCCAATTCTCGAATATATGCAAGAGTTAAGAGTATTTCGATGGTTGTCATGACCACGAGTCATTATACAAGATACGGCTTTGAAAACCTTGACCAACTGATTTCATTCTTCACTGCAAGACTAAATGAAACGCATTAAAGTTTGACGACGAGACATCTCGTAACGGCGAATATGCGGCAATCTCCGCGGTTATTCTCGGAATGCTAATGGCATTGTTTTATATTATAATAATTTATTAAACATCGATATGTATAACTGTATCATTACGTGTGTATCATAACGATATGTATCATTACGTGCACGTATTTCTCTGCACCCATAACTCAAATTACATGAATTTATTTAATTTATTACATGACCCATATCAACATCAATTTATTTTTGAAAATTTAAAGTCAGCAGTTGACAACTCATTCATTGCAATTAAATAAATTGATCATAGATCGGTACGTGTACAAAGAAACTCGATAGTAGACAATATTTAAGTGGGCTCGCAATAACACCTTGAATAGAAACGCGTGAAGTTAAAGCCATTGAAAGACGTCATCGAGGATTCCTTAATATCCGTCTTGTCGGCTGCATTTACTCAAGCTATTTCTCATTAAACTAATGGTGTTTACTCGCATTACTTATAGGATATCAGGTCAACATACTATATACCATAAGCGAAAAGCTTCATAATACTTCTTATGATTAAAAGCATATTAAGCCTATAAATAACAGTTCGTAATAATATACGTGTTTGATAAAAATAATATTACATAGTGAAAGTTGAAATTGTTCTTTCTGCATACTTTATACATATTATATTTGATATGTCAAAATTGAATAACAATAAAACAATAAGGTTAATAAATTTTGATTCCAGTTCAGATTTAAATATTAAAAAAATTAATTAAAAATTGAAGAATAGAATTTTTTCTACTTTCATTCTTGATTTACGTTAAAAACTGATTTCTTAATTACATTTTTAAATTATCTACATTTTGTGTTCCAAGCTGATTTGTTTCAACAAGAAATATTGCGCATACTAAAAATGCACCCGTTCATAAATTACTTATAATAAAACTTTATAAATCATTAACAATATAAAATTTGTCTTAATTTAAACAGACAAATGTATTAGTCGCATCTTCATGTTTTATATAAAAGCCGAAAGTATTGTTCAAGGAAGAAAGCATTGTCTCGAGTTCAGGCATTTCACAGATCGGCTTAATTATGTTGGTGGATGTGGGCGCGGAACCGGCCCCATTACGAGATATTCGGTTCATTCTGAGCCTAAAGGTTGATTCACAACTTGTAAGCACGGTAAGCAAATTGCAGAATCTGAACGTGCCAAAAACATTCTCATGGCTATCGGTTTTTTGCATTGCGTAACATTCGCACGCGCATACATCATAGACGATAAAATCTTGGCTTTACATACATAAATCATTTTTCTATCTCTTTAATTTTTTTACACTCTTTGTACTTTTTTTAACATCTTTTGTATCTTTAAGGAATTATTAAATATATTTACTATTATTAATCCGTACTACATTTTTCTTGATAAATTAAATACGAAGAATAAAGATAATTTATCTTATATAGATTTGGAAAGCAGTTTTATGACAGGATAATTCATCTGAGGTTTATGAGAATACGTCTTGTGCATATATCTAACATCACAACTGTTGACGAAATTTTTGCGCGGCATTTGCGCTCGACTATCAACAACGAAGAAAGATATTTTCAATGAATGGCTTTGTTCATGTTTACAATTTTGTAGTGTTGTATCTAACAATTATACATCATCAATGTTCTAATCATCAATGCAGTTTTATAACAATTTGAACGTAAAAAGAGGCGGGGAATAAAAAGTAACATAGTGTTTACATTCACGTGGCACTCGAGCAAATGACGTCTGACGCAAAATGTACGGCATCTCTATTTTCATGGTCCTCTGATGATGTAATGCGTACGTCACACAATATAATTACTTTAACGGAGGTGGTAAGTTTTGAGCCAAACGCGCATTTGTCTGAACGAGTGTAGACAGCATTTGCCTGCTAGTTCGTTTGTGACTTTTTTAATTTACAAGCTATTCTTTCTCTTAATTTTGTGCTTGTCTTCTATCGGTAAACACTTTTTTATCTTCTGATCTTTTTACTATTGCGATATTAATCGAGGATGCACGTGCATGTATCGTAAAAATACAATTGCTAAAGAAAAAGATATTACGTGTTTGAGATTACGAAACTTTCCCGAGTCACAACGAGATACTAGACTTCTGCATACTAGAAAATAATCTTTAAAGATTTAATAACGTAAGTGTATTTAGCAGCGACTTATATGGTATTTGCACGACACAATTGCGGACAAAACGTGCGATCAATATTTTCTCGTTCACATATACACCGGTTTATCGAATATCATACTTTCAATCTTTGACAATGATGAACGTACCTACATGTATCTGACGTATCTGTCACTACGCGGTACTTCATTTTCCACTATTGACCTCCTGTTCTTGCAATTACGTTATTTGCTTAGCTCATTTAATTGTTTGTGAACTACTTCTCGCAACGTCGTCTCGAGCCGTATATCCACTCGAGTGCATGTTCCATGAAATATTGATTTTAAGTATTAATTTCAATAAGTCAAAAACAAAATATATCTCCGTTATTCGAGTTTGTCTTAATTATTATTAGAAATTAAATTATGTACTTCGTCGTTTGCTATTATTTTGTACATTAATTAATTTTTTAAATGAATCACAACTCAAATCAATTACATCTACATTAGAGAAAATAACAGTACAGTTTTATCATCGAAAAAATACGCATTTGTGCTGCACACCCGTTACATCGTCGGAGATGAGAGAGATGCGCCGTCAGTGGCGCCATGGATCCTAAGTATAGGAGATGGATTTGAGGTTCTCTCATCAATGGAGATAGAAGTTGTTCGCGTTCTTTCGTCACGATACCATTTTATAGAATTGTATCCATCCGTTTTTAACGGTTGGCGGTGAACCATCTTGATGAAGTGTTTACAACTCATAAAGTACAATTTTTTAAATACTCTATTAGTCACACGCATACGTGGTAGAAATTTATAATTCTATGTAAAAAGATTATTCTGCTCTTCAACTTGTATGCACTGTCTTACTTGTCATATCTTCCCACAGTCAGTCGAAAGTAATTTATTTGTTTACATTCGATCAGGTTCACGGATTTCTTAATTTTGTGCTCTCGCAAATTACGGAACGTGTGTCGATTAAGTAAAAGCGACGATTAAGCGTGTGCATCGCTCGTATTATCGCTTGCAACTTAGAAATGTTCGATAACCGATCCTTGCCCATTCTTCATTGTTGCGATCATTTTTTAGATAATCCTGTAATTTCGCACACCTGTGCCTACGAACATATCGTCGAACGATAACGATCGCGGCAGTGATACGGATTGATCGCACATCGGTTAAGTATCAGTCTTCCTATGAATGAACTGATTGTACGATGAATCATTATGCGAATTGAACGACATTATAATCGGCATGACTCATTGTATCGTCGCCAAAGGCGGGTAGCGATATAACACACCAATGTAATTGCGATTTATTCTGGACTTCTTGAAAAATATCTCCGTGTATAACTGCACAATTATTCCTCTAAATTATAGGAATATCTTTAATTTTAACTGAACAGTTATCTCTAATTACTCTCGGGTAGTGAGAGTTGCGTCACGGCGATCTTATTTCCTATTCTCCGACATGCGTGTGAGACAAAGCATGTATTTTTGTAGTCTAATGAGCTATAAATATATCGTGGCTCTCGCTGCAATAGGACGCGAGTTCTTTCCTGTTGTGGCATTGTAATAACTTGGCTTGATTCTAAGCGCAATAATTTCATTAGAAAACCGATGCGTGACCAACACGGGGTATGCCACAGGGCGTGTCATCGACAAATTTATCTTCAATACCGTAATCGCGTTATCTTGGTAGCCGCAGTTTTGATAGGTTTATTAGACATCTTTGATCGAAGTAATGTCTTAGTGGTATAATATTAGAACGAAAGAATGTGAATTGCCAGTGGCTAATTAACGATAAAAAGAATTGTCGACATTAGGCTGGCAGATAGTTTATTTGTTAAATTCCGACGTTTCGACCATGCGGGTTGTGGTCCTTTTTCAAGGAATTTAACAATCTACAAGTTTTTTTTAGAGGACATTGCAACTTAAAAGTGTATCGATTACAGCTTGAAATGAACATAAGTCAAGTTACGAGCCAAGTGAAATTTTTTACTTACAAATATTACGTCCTCGATATTGAATTAAAAACGGAGGTCTGACATCCATCTTTGGGCGTCACTCGGAGAACTATGTTCGAAGGCACGTCCATTCGACGTAACGACCACAGTAAGACTAAAGTCTGAAGTGGTGTAAAAGAGATACGGAGAACATAACAATAAATAAATGGCTATAAAAACGAAATCTGAGCCAGAAGGAAATGAAACGAGAATAAATAGTAAATAAGTGTTCAATAGATAAAATAAAAATATAAATTCAAATCAAGATGTTGATTAAGTCAAATATGTAAAACTACTAGTTAAATCTTAAATTCTATATCTTTGCTGTATCTTTCTGTAGGTTTCTAGTCGCGTTAGTTTTCTTATTGCGTTGTTTTCTTTGCGCAGTATCAAGAGATCACGCCAATCGAAATAACGGCCATTATCAATCCGATGACTTGTAATGACTGAGAAACCATCTGCCAGCCTAATGGCGTCTAACAATTCTTTTTATCGTATAATGTTAGAATTTTGCTTGTGTAACGGTGTAAAAACATTACGCCATTTTCTTAATTGAACTTGCATTAATTAATCTTAATTGAACGGTAGGAGCTAATTTAATGCGTCGTGCGAGGGGAGAACTTACTGACGCCTCGAGCGAGAATTAATTAAGTGTAATTGTGTAGAGCTATGACCACACTCCCCGATAAGCTCTGATCAGTCTCTCAAGTTTGATAGTGATTAAAAATTACCATTGGGCAAACGAGCAAAACATATAGCGCAACTGCGTATTAATTATCTTTCGTGAAAATTGGCTGCTTGTTATTAAAAAGCCTCTGTTGAAATTTCTTGAGCAATATACGATAACATGAATATATTACGCGCATGAGAATAGATAATTTCTTTGCGTCTATAGATATATTTTTTATTGTAGATAACAAAATTTAAAAAAGTTCTTTCGTCCTTTTTATTACATCTTAAACTCCTCAAATTTTCCTCCGGTTTTCAGTACAATTTAGATGACGTAAAGTATTAAAGTTAATTCCTAGTTATATTAAGTCTAAAGCATTACATTAATTAAATTACAAATTAATTGGCGTAAACGTACAACCAATTAAAGTCAAAGACTACAAATAGCAATGATTAGTGTCAATGTAGTCTAGTAATAGAGGTAGTAGGTAATAGAAATAATTCGATTGATTGTGATCTGGCAAAAGTGATCAGCACAGCCTGGCGAGACTGGCAACAGAGGGAAGAAAGAGTAATTATTATAAGTAAACGTATTATTACTTCGTGAGTTTGAATATTATTCATCTTACTAGATGTTAGATGATTATTTAAAGCGAGACGCCTGACTGCGATGCGTATCGATTATTAAAGTCAATAGTAATGAATTGATCAGTCAATTGATCAATTTTGCAATGTACTTTAAACTCGTCTCTACCATATCAAAAATACTCAGCGTAAAAAGTGAATGAACCGAGAGATAAACAACGTACGTACATCTAACAGTATTTTCGTCATGAGAGTTTATAATAAGTATGTGAAGGAATATCTCTTGTGTGTATCTCTGATATATAAAAGAAATGACATTAAATATATCTAAATATATGTGTGACGATTATATTATAACAAATCAAATTTTTTTTTATTGTTTTCGAACGATTGAACAATGCGGTAATTGGATTTTGATGCAAAGAAGGATAATTAAACGCATGTGCGCTAAAGTTTTCGTGACGGAGTACAACAAAAGCTGTAAATAATCATGGAATATCGTGAAGAATTCTGTCCCGCAATTTCTCGTAATAGTTGCGGTCGATACGCGTAAAGTTATAAAAAAAAAACAGGCACCGTCGCGACGATCGGTAATTCATTCTACAATTCACGAGACGATCTAATCCATCCATTCGGTGCATTGTCTTCATTTGATTTGTGCCCGACTGTGTTTAACCGGAATTTATAGTTCACGGTCGAATCGTTCTTCATCCTGCCACTCCTCGTTACCGAGAATTTTCTACCGCTTGTCCCAAACAGTCTAGCTTCTGACGTTAGTACAAAATAATATAGAAGGGAGTCTCACAGAGGAGCCATCGTGTCGTTGAAACATGAAACCACGAAATGCAATATGAAACTATCATAGTGGCAACGATTGTTACAACGAATGAGATATAAAAAAAATGTGCGATTGCTTAATAAAACCTACGGTATAAATTGATTCCTAGAGTGATAGTCAGAATGATATACAGGTATTTTTATCGGTTCTTCAAATCGATTTATTTCTAAGAAATATATATTCTATAAGGAGATAAAATAATTAAATTGTTAGAAGTATTTTCTCAACTTTAACTGAATAGATATTAAACAACGAACAAATGCTACTGCTAGGGCTCGAGGGTTAACAATTGAGTATAACATGCAGGTTTAGGAAGAAGTGCGCATTCATGCGGTGAATCTCGTATTTCAATCCACGCCCAGATTACGTATGTGTTACATACATTACGTGACAAATGAGTACCCGTCACAGTTTAAAAAACGCCTTAAAACCTTCGATAGCGATGAATCATGCGAGACACGTTCGGACAGCGTGTATGTAGGAGAAATTAAGAAAAAACTTTTATTTTTTCCATCGACAGAATTGTTAAAAAAATTGTGAATAAGATAAGACTTCCTTATCTATTTCCCACTAAATCAGAGCTACAATGTAACTATATACGTCTTATCACTATACATGACAAGTCTCTTTTGCAAATAATAATTAAATGGCTTATTGTTAGTAACATGAAGTTGATAAATACCAATTAAAACTTTTTATCATAAAGTTGAACTTTTGAACTTATGGAGTGACAGATTTGCAATGTATATCAATTAAATGTAGAGACAAATTTTCGCAAGCAAAATTGGTAATACGTTGAGCGATAATCTTGCAATTATCAAGTAATGTTCTTTTGATTTTTCATTAAACCTAAAGAACACAAACGCGCGTTTCGCGCGCGCCATTTGCTCTCTCGAAAAGTTTGCATGGTTTGACAGCTGCAAATAACACGACTGAAGCATGTCATATCGCACAAGCGAGACAGCTAATTAGCATCTCGGAAAAGCGATAGGAAAATCAATTATAAATCAAAATGTCACTTGTTCAGCAAGAATGAAACACATCGTTTCAAGGACGAATATAGATCGCAATGGAAATTCAAATACGTCCTGAGTTTCTCGGTTTTGGCAAAAATCACCGATTTTGGTAAAAACTATGTTTATATTAGAATAGATAAATTAAAAAATAGATAAAGAGAATTATCACTAACAAGAACGTAAATATGTAAAATTAATAAAATTACATGTCTATATTTAAATACAAACCAACTATTTTATTGATTAACCACATTAGAAATTATCAATAATTTAACTATCCATTTCGCCACATAAGTGATTCCGATCTTTAAAAAGATAAATTTGACGATGACTAATGTAACATTAGTTAAACTGTCATGCAAAAATATTGTTCCCCCGTGTATATTTTATTTCGACTCAATGTGAATTCTACGAAAATATAAAAAAATGTCACGGTCACGCGCTGATAAAGTAACCATGATTAACGTCACGTTAGAGGTAACGTTAAAATGATGAAGAACGTGCGATAAACTTAAAGATTGTTCAGAAGTTGGCTAATAACAATAAGTGCTCGAAATATGAAATATGAAACATTAAACAGGGGAGAAATACATATTTCCACGTACCTATCTGAATCTTACATTTACACAAGGTGAAGATAACGGTAAAGTAATATACAAACAGCTGAGTGTGCTAAACACGTGTGACCCTAACGTATTTGATGTATAACGAAAATGCGCTGTTAGAAATCGCGCTGCGAGATGTCGGAAAAAATTTTTATTGTGCGTCAAATCAATTTGAAAATGCAGCACAGAAGTTTGCAGCTACATTGCAGTAACGTTGCGATATCATACATTACAGTGCAATATTGTATAATGGAAATATTGCATAAACATAAATTTGCAATGTAGTTTGAACAATGTTATAACAACACTTAAAAAATATTGTAAACCACTTTTGAATCATTTTATATAGCAGAAGGTGTTTATTTTGCTATTTGGCTGAACTTATTACTTACAAATTACGTATAATTTTTACATCAAACTTCAAATACTTTTTGTACATGTTTTTTCCAATAATCTATAACTTTAAAAATATTATGTTTTGACTTATTATTTTTAAAACGAGACCACAAAATGAAGTTATTGAGAATTTGAGTTACAGTTTTATTAACATGAATAATATTTTAATAATAGAACGATAATGCACTTGTTACAGTTTCTTCTTAAGTTGTTTTCCTAATTATTTCTTATTTAAAAAATATATAAGAACAGTGTTATATAATGTTATCATATACATTTAATTTTCTCTGTTGAAAACTGTATAATATGTCAGGGAATCTTTACCAAAAGAAAAAAAAACGAAATTTTTAAATATGTACAACAGATAATGTACAAAAAAATTATAAATTAGAAAAATATAAAATTTTAGAACGCATTACAGTTATGAATTATGAGAATACATGTATACATTATTATACGTACAAGTATAAATAAGTTTGCAAAAGGCAAAAATTCTCATTTGCGTACTAATGTATGATTTTATGTGAAATTATGTCGTTTATGTTACTTGTTTTAAGATTAAAATTCAATTAATAAAGCTATTATGCCGACTTGTGTAAAATAATATTGCATATATATTATACTCTAATGTTATTTTGCAATACTACGTAGTAAATCTCTGAAAGCGTTTATAACGTTTATGCAATATTCCAATTTTGCAATGAAATATCGCCACAATATTCTTACACTTTTGCTGTGCTATATAAGATGTATTATTGGCAATTTCTCAAAATTAATGGAGATAAACAATTAATAATGAATTTATCTTAATATTATTTTTTTAATCAATTAAGACTCCTGGTTAGCATCAATTAATGTCAAATTACTTGATTAATTTCTTTTTTTTGTATTTAAAATATCGTAGCGACTTATATGTTATTGTATTTTCTGCAAGAACTAATGTATATACCGTAGGTATAGTCTTTCTCGCAGGCAATACAATGACATAAAAAGTTTCAAAATAAATAATGATACGTCTGTCTGAAGTGAGAAATCTGAAATATAATTCATAAATTCTCGCGGTGTTTCGAAAAGAATTTGGAATAAAGCGAAGACATACAATGAAAAGAATAATTTACATATCAATTAATCATTGAAGTAGATCTATGAAATCATTGACTCTTCATGAAACACAATATCAATCATTCAAAGTGACGTTCGTTAAATATGGGTTATGCCCATGAACACTCGTTAAAGTTAACTGAGATTTGATCGATTCTCTCTCTCTTTCTCTCTCTCTTGTTTCTCTCTTAAAAAGCCAAGAAATGGAATCTTATTTATGAGCTACATTTAACTGTGCCTAATTGTTTATTACAATTAAATTATCTCTAAGTTACAATAAGAAGAGTTTGATATCACATTTACTTTGGATGAACGAATTTACGTAGTTCGATAATGTCATTCACAATTCTCATTAGTATCTCCTCTTATTTTGTTGAGTCTACTTCACGAATAAATATTATTATCGCTAGCCTGCAATCTCGCACATATACTGCCATACACGTCATATTAATAATTGCACGGTAATTTTACAAGACATACGGTGTCGGATCAGAAATGGATTATAACGATGTAATGCAATGAATTAAAAAAAACATATGATTGAAGCCGCTCCCGCGACGTAGTACGTGATCTCGCAAATCACCTATGATTTATCCACGGACGTTTCACGCAACGTTGACTTTAAAATATAATTGTATAACACAGTATGTTAACAATACAATGTTCTTCGTTAATAAAACAACATTTGGTGTGTTTCAATGGATATCACGTGGGTATTATTTTGATATAACATCGACTGCGTGAGCATTCGTCAAATACGTAAATATCTATCGACAAACATCTAAGAGTAAGTGTATAGAATTCTTTTGGGGCTCTGGGAACAACACATTTAGCGGAAGGACACTTACCAAAATATAACGCGACTCTCGCTCTTCTCTCTCTCGTGCAAAATATCTACAATCTAACAGGCTATCGCGGCTGTAGACGGTTTTATAGACCGTCCGCGATAACGTTCACGATAACGTCCACTCGACAAAACCCGAGTCCCTCTGTAGTTTAAAGTCGATTCAGATTCAGTGATTCAAGCGAACGTATATAGCCGCTTATCATTTTATTATACATGTGCACGAAATTCTGGGAGGCGACGGAAAATCAATGACGTTATTTCTTCGAACGTGGAACAATTTTCAATCGTAGTATCTTTTCACGAACCGATCGTAAATTGAATACGCGAGTCGAAGGCTGCGGACAACGCGTGCCGATCAGCTGCACAGCATCTGCGACTGGTGGCACCGGGCTCGAAAGACTCCGTGTTATCTCCCCCGTGCGAGATATCACTCATCAAACTAATCGAGAAGTACTCACGGTTTAAAGAAGGTAACGCCCTTCTTTTTAACTCATCGCGTTTCCCATCGTATTTAAGGGCAAACTCGAATTTTTCGAATTTCAATTTATCCGTGTCGACCTTTCCTTTAGCGGAACGCGTCTTTTTATATTCTATCGGTCTGTCAGTCGTTGTTTTTGTGTCGGATGAACTACTCACTGTTCCACGGCGGAATGTTGCGAGAAAAATCCACGGCCACCTGCCGACGAAGCGCGCGCACGAATGCAAACTGAGCTTGCTGAGCGCCGTCGCGACGGCTTTCACACGGCGCCGGGTTCCCCCGTTTCGTAACATCGCAGACGGTGATCATCATTGGTGCTGGCACAGTCGGATTTACCATTGTAGATGGCGCCAGTCCATGAAGATCCGTGAACATCCATGATTAATTAAAAGGTTCCCAAGTGAAACGTAACTCGCGAATAACACATCTCGCGCAATTAAATTTTGGAGCAAAGCTTCCATTTCAAAGCAAAGCGGATACAAAATTAAGAAAACAGAATCCAGTCGTATAAATAGATATGGAATCAATTATTCTCTGATAAAAATCATGTGACTCCAATGAAATTAGCTATCAACTATCGAAAAAATGTCAACATACACACTGAGAAGAATGTCCGATTAAATATAATTGGATAATCCAATTACATAATAACAAACGGATATATCCGATTAAATTGTATATCCGATGAAAAATGAGATCGGAATTTTTCAATCGAATTTCACCGGTAATTGCTTTCATCGGATATATCCGTTTGTTATATGTAATTGGGTTATCCGATTATATTTAATCGGACATTGGTCCGATCGGATTTGGTCCTCTCAGTGCACTGAGAAAAATTTGTATCGGATAAATCTATTAAATAGTGTTTCCGATGGTTAATTTTTCCGATTACGTTTTCCGATTAGATTATGGATACATACGTTGAAATTTATCCGATGAAATGCAGTTACCAATGAAATTTGATTAAAATACCGATCATATTTTTCATCGGATATATTATACAATTTAATTGGATATATCCGTTTGTTATCATGTAATTGGATTATCCGATTATATTTAATCGGACATTTTTCTCAGTGTATGACCTTTCGAAAGAACCCTTATTCGTTATGATCGGTGAGGGGTCACTTCTTGCGATTTCCTTGTCAGTGCAGGTTATCCGACGTTTTATGATAAATTTCGGAAATACGGTTTATCATGCGAGATTATAGCTTTTGCTCACAGATATATGTGATGCATTATTGAAGCATTATTGAAGCAAAGGAATGATATGTACAAATATCTATGCAATGATACAAATATTCTGAAAACTTATTGTAAAACGTCGGAAAACCTTTCTGACCACGATCGCACAAATCTTTTCAATTTGATTTTAAATTATAGACCTCAACATCTTCGTTTAAAAATTTGCTGTAATACTTACGGGTCAAGAATAGAAAGACTTAAAACTTTTACATTAATTTCGGCTTTTAAAAGATACAGAATTGTGTATATATTGTAAAATGTTTTTTTTATACGCCTTTTAATGTATATATCGCGTAATTCGAGCAAATACCTAGGTAGACAATTGTGTTGCGTCTCGAGTAATAAACCTATATACTATATTTAATTGTAAGTGGAAGAGAAATCGATTCACCGATTTATTGATAAGTAGCCTGTGTTATATTAACCTGCATCGCACGATAAGCAAACCGACGCGATCGATATCACGTGCACCGTGTGCTGTAAAAATTCGGAAATCATGAGAATGCATCATTATTGTTGCGCAAGTTTCATAATATGATAATTTAAACCCCAGACAGGTTTTTGTAATCATAAAGTTTAACCGTAATCAATCTTTCATTACGAGGGTGATTAATTGTAGCTTTGAATTTTTCGATGTTTATTCAACTAACCATGATTAAGCAGTTGATTGACCCATGACTGGCGATGTGTTTTAACACAGAAAATTTATTGCGAAAAATATTACCTCAGCCAGGGTTTGAACCTGGTTCCCTGGCTATAGTAATATTTTTCGCAATACATTTTCTGTGTTAAAAACACATCGCCAGTCATGATTGATTAACTGCTTAATCGTGGTTATTTATTTGCTGGCGTCAAATGACTCTTGATGAATATTCTAAAAACATTCTTCTTTGTTATGAATACACGATTTCTAATTATAATAATCTACAATATATAATATATATATATGTATAGAATATTCGATTGGAATATTCTGAAATTAAGAATATTTGCACTCCATCTGGGAAACAGCCAACAAATTATACTCGAAGCGTCGGATAAAATATTAACGAAAAATTATAATATATCGATCGCTTGCCAAGGAATAATCTCTCTAACAATCATATGTACAAAAGTGCGCGTATAATATAAAGTTTCCATTTTCGTCGCGTTCGGGAGTGCCGTTTAAATGATCGAACTAAAGATTTTTCAAAGTCCATTTCAACAAGTATTCGTTAAATATCCGTTCCAGTCGATGGCCACACTTCCGAGATCTGGCGGTTTTTGGGATGTAATACTCGTCGACTCGAAGTGGAGGCGAATTTGACGGAACAGAATACTTTCACGCGGACTTTATAACCGGGAGTATAAAATCGCGCGAAGATCGTTTCCGCGAGTGTGTCAAAGGACAGCCTGAGTGGAGGAGGAGGGCAAGGAAAGGCATCGGGCACCGGTGCAGCAACTTCACGGTAATTTTCTATTTTGTGTAAAATTAATCTTTTTTCCGGTTTATTGAGTCATTTATTTTATAATTCCATAATTTCGAGAAAATAGTTAGAACAAGCAGTAATTCAAAATTTTATAAAAGTTTATTTGTGAAAATCTGTTGTGGAAGATGTACAATCGTTTAAATGTATATTTGAATACAAAGTTCGAATATAAAGTAAGAATTATTTTCTACAATATTGTTTTTCTTCAACACTATTTTAATACGAATTTTGTAATTGTATGTTACAGGCTGTTGGAGAAGAGGACAGCCTGAGTGGAGGAGGAAGCTAAGAAAAGGCATCAGGCGCCGGCGGAGCAACTTTACGGTAAATGTTATTTTTCATTTTGTGTAAAATTAATCTTTTTATGACGTAAGATTTTATTCTAAATATTTTGTCGAGAACGCTGAAACATTTCAAATTATTATTATACATTATTAGCGATTATTGATTACTTGTAACATCCAATTACAATATCAATATCTATCGTGCAAGAAGGTTCTTTAATTTTGGGTCTCCCGTCATTTATTCTGTATATGTATCTCGCGATACACCTTCAAGATGCGTCTTGCATGAACAACATGCATATTTATACGCATTTTCATACATTCGCGATCGGTTTTTAAAAACATTTCCAAGATATTAGTACTTGTTTAATTTCATCCATATTAGAAATGTTAATTTATCGCGGAACACAATTAAAATTAATATAACGCGAAATAAAGTCTTTTCTGTATCTATACTTGAATTTTGAAATCAAAGATCGAGTCACGAAGAGACGGTTAATACTCTGGAGTAAATAACGGAAGTAGAAATATATTTAATTAGTTTTATGCAGCAATTTTTTTCAAATTAAAATTCTTTTTAATTAACTTCTCGTAGTCGTGTAATTTTCGATACGATCGACGCTCGCATATAATTAAAATCGCACGTAATATCAGTCGGTGACGATAACAAACCGACTATGGAAGGAGTTTTCTTTTTTCCTGATCTCTGGTCAAAATGACCAGACTGTATGGCTAGGAGTAACGAAAGGTATGTCCAATCTGGCCCGACGAGAGAATATTGAATACAACGGGGTACGTGGTCAATATTGGCCACTTTGTTAGAGTATGTAAGTAAGGCGATGTACAAAATAATTTGATTTCTTTTATGTGTCAAAATTCGGGTGGGTTATTCTTTTTTATATATTCTCATATGTGCGAGATTAAAAAGACTCCTATTAAATCCCAATCGCGTAATAATTAAGAGACTTTTCTTAGTCAAGAAACCTGTCATACCGACACAATGCAAAGTATTTTCTGTTTTACTAACTGCAGAGTGAAATAGTACGATAGCACTTATACATATTCGAATGTATCGGTAAAAAAGATGACACCTCCTAACACCTAATCCTGAGCGCCAGCACGTTGCAGCACGATTAGATTAATGCGCTGTTATAATAGCGCGTTTGAAACCTTGTAACATTTATTATGTTTATCTCGTTTTTTGTAAAGATCTATTTCTCTATAAAATAATATTAACCCTCAAAATGCTTCTGCGAGTGATCGGCCTACAACCCTTATACAATGTATATTAAAAAGTACAACTTCAACATTTTTCTTCCTTCTATTTTATCGGCAACCGGGTCTGAAATTTCGCGCACTGATAGAAAAAAAAACTTACAACTACAACATAGGTACTTAAATTGCAATTTTTTCATCCTTTGATCGGTTTATGCAACAGCCACCTTAACCGTATTTCCTGTTGCGACTTGTAACGTAGCAGCTCTATTGTGTAGAATTACAAGTCATACTCACCTTTGATATACAACATGTGACATAGGGCCATCGCACACAAAATTGCATAGCTGCATATGTATAGCACAAGACCATCTAGATCAATAAGCATGTTATGTAAATTAATACGGCAAATCAATGCCCGATGTTTATTAGTTTAAACGGTTTTCATGCTATGCATATGCAGCTATGCAATTTTTGTGCGATGACCCTAACGACTCGCGATATTAGATTCTGACTCATCACATATTGTATAACAGGCCTTACCTTTGACGAGTAAGAAGCGTGGATAAAATTTTTTTTGTAAAAAATATTGTTTATAAGTTTGTAAAAAATATTGTTCACATATTGTAAAATAAATAAAAGTGAACATGATGTTGACGTCACCATGATGCATACAAATGATCAAAAAATTATGTCATCTTGGTATTTTCATGACTAATATGTTCTACTTGGGTAAGGAGCTCTAATCCGTATATTGCATTGTATTCAGCAATGAGATTTTACACCATAATGTGAAATTGTATGCTAAAGACATTTATTTATGTAAATATGACCCTCTCTCTCACATTTTGACGCAGCAGAAATTAACAATATCGATTTAAATTATTTAAAGTATCAGATAAACGTTTTCATTTGACTTCTACCTTTTCAAATTGCTACATTAATTTTGTACAGGAACGTATTTTGAAGTAAAAAAAAAACCATATTACTCTTTTATTATCTATTTCATGTCTCTTATACGTTGATAGCATAAAAGAAAAGAAAACTCTTAATTTGAATCACGAGGAAGTCGTGCTTTACATATCTTCGTTGTCTTTCTCTCCTTTGTTTTCTCCTTCTTTCCGTGGCTTATGATCAAAACAAGGAAAATTTTTAAAAAATTTGTGGGGTATAAAACGTCTGCGGATTGATGCCACCTGCAATAACAACGTTACAGCGTAAAAGTTAGTTATCAACTCGATAACGTATGTATTATCCGGAAAAACTTCATAAGTTATAACAGTAGTAAGTTATTAAAATTTTATCTGAAAAAGGGCCAATGCGAAGATTGTATTTTGTTTAAAAATAGTGACGGTAAGGAGAAAAAATATTTTGTTTAAAGGAGGCATTAATGAATAAGACTACACATCACAACAGGTGCGTTCCGTTTCACGCATGATGTGCACCATCTATCTTTATGTAATATCGGGTAAATAACAAGGATAAATGATGAATTTTGTGTATCATAAGTGAAGCGGGACACACTCAACAATCAGCAAATCAGCAATATAAACTCTTTATGTACTGTGTTTGCAGCTACGATCTTGTTCACGTGCTACAGTGCTACGATATTCTTTACATGTAAGTATTGTGTAATTGTGCTGAGTATTATTCCCGCCTTAAGTGGTTGCACGTCAGACGGCGCTAGGGGTGAAGGACAGGACAGGCTAGAGCAGGAGGAACACAAGTTTAGTAGATAGAATCTAATTAAAGCGATTGAGACGTTCCCTCTAAGAAAAGCAATATTCTTATTGCGACCACGCACCAACCCGTAGACAATGCAGCAATAATAAATAATAATTGTAGAATAAATATTACCTAATTTCAATTGCTGGAACAACTAACAGTTTAGCTAAAACAGCATTTGTTAATGAAGCAAATTTTCTTTTATATAACAGCAAAAAGATTAGTTACATATACTAAGCTATATTTTATATTGGTTGTAGTAAAGAATCATCTTTGCTGTATTAACAAATCTACTGTGCTATACCATTCAATTTTATTACGCTCAATTACAAATCTTACGCAGCTCTGCGACTTAGTTAATGCAACATAGCAACCTATCCGTATATTACGGCTGTTAATTTGCTAGGCTAATAGGTTTTTGTTGTAGTAGAAACCTCTTTTTTTCATGATAGCGATATAAATAATTCAAGAAACAAATAAGATTAGTATGTAACTAATGAAACTAATGAAACATACAGAATTTTCGAAAAAATGGCGCCAAATATAACACCAACAGGAGTATTATTTGAGGGTGATATTGTTGCCGAGTCGCAAATGATCGAGGAGCCCAAGGAAAAACCTAAATATATTAGACAGATTGTTTGGGAAAGCGTGGCGATTTGCTCGGTCCTACATGTCGGCGCACTTTATGGAATTTATCTGTCGTTCACATCCGCTAAATTAGTGACGATCGCTTTCGGTGAGTGGTGTTATTAATTTTATTGCGAAGCGTAACGTAACTTTTACTTTCTCATAAAATAATCCCTATCTAAAAAAGGTGTTGCGAGTTCATTGTTGTCGCTTTTCCGCGATGCCGATTGGCTCTCTCGAAACTCGATTTTGATCTTGTTGCGAGTCGATTCTCTTCGACTTGCGGTTTTGACAGTTTGCATTTAAGAGGGTTATTTTGACAGTTTGTGTGTCGATCTCGTTGCGAGTCGTTCACTTCGACTTGCGGTTTCGACAGTTTGTATTTAAGAGGGTTATTTTGACAGTTTATGTTATGTGTATGAAGAAGGAGAAGAAAGGGAAGATAGAGAAAGGAGGAGGAAGAAACGATAAAATTAGCTTTTGCGATGACAATTAATAAGTCACAGGCACAAATATTTGACAAAGTAGGAATAGATCTTCGCAAAGATGTTTTTAATCATGGACAACTTTATGTTGCCTTTTCATGCGTTCGTACTTGGCAAGCATTAAAAGTTTATCTTGGTAATCAGCGAGATAATAAACAAGTTAAAAACTATGTATATAAAGAAATATACAGGGTGAATCTTAATGCCTGCCCCAGCCTTTTACCATGAGAAATGGATTACCGAATGCAATTTTGGTTCACCGAACGGTACAAGAGGGCAGCTGCTTAAATCTCATGCCCTTTCTACACCTAGGGATGATCCTACTTGTGGCTCATCCGATACCCCTTCTATACCTAAAGCTAATTAATCCTACTTGCAGCTTATCCGAGGGAGTAGTAT